CAGGGAACATTGAGTTTTTCCGTAACGTGCGTTGCATTTTGTTGCCGCCCAGGAGGGAGAAAGCTCTCTAGACCGTGGAAAGAGGCAAGTGAAAATGATGCTGTTGATGTTGCCTTGAGTTTCTGCTCACACACGCTCTTGTGCCACCAAGGCCCTGTCCGCAGAAAGGATAAACCAAACGGAGCTGGGAAATAGGAAAGTGGAGTGGAGGGCACCAGCGAATCTCATTATGAGGGTTGGTTAAATAATAAAGAAAGTATTTGCTAATAAAAGATAATTTTTTCCATGCTATTGCCAGGGCTAACAAGCAGAGGAAGTGGAGAGAATCGATTCTCCTGTTGCATGCTTGTGTATGATCAGGCCACAAAATTCAAAACACATGAGTTTTCAAAAAGTCCACAACTTCAGCCTTTTAAAATGGGTTCCTTTCCCTGATTCTTGCTTGTGATCAGATAATGACCTTCGTAAGCAAAACAACCCCAGCTGTATTTCATAATGGGAATATACTTCTGTACATTGTAATGAGCTGTTAACAGGGAACAGTATCGTGTGAAAACCTGCACGTTTCCCATGATGCTGCCCTGATTTAAAAGCCATCCATAAATTATTCAGTATTGCAGAATTCAAGGTCAGGATTTGCCATAAGATTTAGTTTTTCTCCCCCCAAAACAATGTTTTTAGCAGGCTGGAACTTAAAATAGAAAAACTTGACCTGTCAGGAATCTTCAGGAGTCGTGTGGGAAGTGCAGCGGCATCCGTGTCGGGTACCTGAAAGTGTGTGGCCGGAGCCAGCGGCTCGTCTGATGCAATGGGAAATAACATCTTTGCTCCTCCAAAACTCTTTCTTACCGAAGGAAGGCATCCCTAGTTTTGCAGACAGTCCTGAGTTGGTGGGTTTGGTTGAGTTTTGAAAGGTTTCTAGCAGAGCCAGGGGCTGGTTTTTGCTGCTGGGTCTGGTTCCCAGGGTCCCCTTCGTGATGCCAAGCAGCACCTGGACACACGGCCGGGGATCCGGGGGAGCTTCTGCACTAAGGCACTTTTTCTGCTGGATGTGTTGATTATTAAGCATATATTACAATCCTGAATATTATTTTAGCTGCAAGTTCAGTCTCCGTCTTCTCCAGCTTTTTAGGTTTGATCGTATTCCAGAGGCTTACTAAAAACATGCAAAGAATTTCAGCAAAACTCTATGGAACACTTTTATTAAATTCTTTCAGTCATGCAAGCTAAATTAAATGACAGCTCTGTCCACCAAAAGATTACAAATATCAATCAGACTTCTCCCCTAAACTCATGAAGGAATTAAATGTTTTTCTAAAAGTCTTCTAGTCCCCTTAATAATCTCACTGTTCTCTTTACTTTACATATTTTTGAAGTATGTTGAAAGGAATGATTTCTGCCCTAAAGGAGCACAGTGCTTGTAGCTCACTGCCGATATTTTATCTGAATTTGTGGGCACAATTTTGGGTATTGCTCAAATTGATATTTGCAATACCGCGGGCACAGTTTCCAAAAGGAGAAAACAGCTATTAAACTACAGTCCAAGGAACACAAAGCTGATTTCTCTTCGGAGATGGGAGATTAACGATAAAAAGTATGTTGCAGCTCTCACTGTTTATGTTAAAATTGGAAAAACAAGACCAGGTGGCTCAGTGGGCTGGTGGGATGGTGAGCTCTGAGTAAAGTGGTTATAAAGAATGAGGAGTTATAAAGATTTCAACATACGGTGGCCCGTCCAAATCCAGCTGAGTCATTACCCCGCATTGCTGCATCTGTTTTTGTCTGGTCACTGTACGGTTATGAATAATTGTGTAAATCGTGCTGGGATGCCCTGGGGAGCTTTCCTTGCAGAAACGCTCGGCGCACCGTTCCCATCTGGCTTGTTTTTTAAGCTGTAGGGAGACCACAGGACAGGCCAAGTAACGAAGATGTATGTGGAGACCAGCCAGGGCTGCCCGGTGTCCCTCGTGCCGACGATCCGGCAGCTGACATGGCAGCGGAGCTACCGCAGCGCTGCCTGCCCTGCCGGAGGGTCACGGTGTAAAAGGGATGAGATTGGAAATAAAACTGATGCACGTCTGAGCCCGTGGAACTCGTAGTCAGGAGCAAAGGCTGTGGCCCACGTGTTTCTCGCCGTGGTGGTGTGCGGATGGGAGACGAACGCCCTGCAGACGCCTCGGAGGTGCATGCGTGTGCGCACAGACCCCCACAATTAGTGCTCTGGTTTATGTCGGGTACATTATAGTGTATTTTTGCAACTATGGTTTAGCAAAGAAGAGTAGATACGACTGTAAACTCTTACGGCTGGATGAATTGTGATTAAGTTAAAGCTATCTCACTTACATACTACTTTAGCGATTGCTGGACTATGTATTTTCCTGCCTCTTACCATGGGCTTTAAACCACAGGACGTGAATAAACTGTAATGTTAGGGTACAGCCAGCTCTGCTTGCTATTTAAAGATGGGGAATCTATGTTCAGTCCACCAAATATAATTTCATAAAGCGTGCAGACCGTCGGGGAGGTTGTGTAACGGTTGATGAGCAGG